AATGTAGAAGCATCTGGCAAGCACACCATGCGGTACGAAGAGAAGGAGATAAGAGAGCAAATTGTTCAAATGCTAACTGGGACCAGAAAAGAGCCAATGTCAGTATTTTTCTTCTGTGACCAGCATTTTCAAAATGCACCCTGGCAAAGAATTGCGGTTGGTGAACACAATACATGGGATTGTTTGCATGTTAAATGGCAAAGTTGTTCCTTTTACCAACCATATGACCACACTATGTTAAGACTTCTGACGGGCAGGGTGTTACAGTCACTCCTAGAAGTTCCTATGTACAGTCATCTTTTTCTAAAATCTGTTGCATATGAACAGGGTGTCTGTATAGCCCTAGAGCAGTGATTCCCAACCTTTTTCCCATGGAGGAGCCCCTAAAATAATTTTTCATATCCCGAGGAACCCCTACCTATGAAAATGTTTGCTTGGCCAGAAAAAGTTGACAGCTGGGAGTGCAATTCAATTACTGCTAAATTATTGTTAAGAAAATTTATTTGTAAAGAGCTGTTTTATATATATATATATATATATGTCAGTTTACATTGTAAGAATTTTTTTTAATTTATTTATTCCACGATTTCTCGCGGAACCCCTGACGATTGTCTGCTGAAACCTCGGGTTCCGTGGGACCCTGGTTGGGAAATCTTGGATTCCACAAAGCAGCTACAATACAGGCAGCAGTTTCCCTGTCAACATGCCTAGAGGGACCATTTCTGTAGTTTAGGGGTGATTGATTTCCAGGGCCCAGTCAGTCCTGGGTTATTTCCTGAGGCTGCCAAAAATGGGCAACTAACAAGGAAGCCTGGAAGAATGATGTGGTTGTTAGGGTTCTGGCCATGAACCAGACTTTGCCACAGACTTCCTACTGGACCTTGGGTGGGCCTCTCAGATGTAGATCTACCAAGTTATGTAGACACCTGACTCCTATTGATGTGACTGGGGGTTAGGTATCTGGATACTTTTGAGTATTATTTTCCCATATGGATAATCATAGAATCATAGAATACTAGAGGTGGAAGGGATCTTGAGAGGTCATCAAGTCCCGTCCCTGCCCTAACAGCAGGATCAAGCACCATCTAGATCCAGGGCTGGCCCAAGCCATTTTGGCGCCCCCGGCCCAGGCACGCGGCGCTGACCCCAGGGCGCACAGCTCGTGCGGGCTGGCCACGGCCACTGGCACGCAGCCCAGGACCTGTCCCCGGAGTGCACGGTGCATGCGTTGCCCAGCCCGGCCTGGCCATCGCTGCTGGCACTCGCACTGGGCTGTGCAGGGCCCCGCGGCCATCAGGGGAAGGGCTCTGCTGGCCGGTGCCACGGGGCCGGTGCTGCGGGAGGCGGGTGCGCGGTGCCTGATGGCAGCTATAAGAGATGTCGCATGCCTCTTACAGCTGCCATCAGGCGCCCCCCATCGGTTGGTGCCCCGGGCAGCTGCCTAGCTCGTCCACCCCTCAGTCCGGCCCTGTCTAGATCATCCCTGCTCAAAGGCTATCTAGCCTGCTCTTAAATATCTCCAGTGATGGAGATTCCACAACCTCCCTAGGCAATTTATTCCAGTGTTTAAATACCCTGATTGTTAGAATGTTTTTCCAATGTCCAACCTAAACCTCCCATAATAGCATTGTACTACCTCACAGGGGGCTTGTGAGGTAGAATATGTTAATAATTTGAGGTACTTCCATACCATAGCAAGGGGGCGGGGAGGTGGATGCATGTACCTTAGCTAGTTTCACTATGATTTATGGCTAGGTCTAGACTACAAGGTTTTGTTGGAAAAAGGCTACACAAAACGCGCTGCGCAGCTTGCGTAGCTTTTCTGTTTCTTTTGTCGGAAGAGGTTTTTCTGACATTTGGCCTGTCTAGACTGGGCTAAATGTTGGAAAAAACCCCTCTTTGGAAGCCTCCTTCTTCCTCGTGGAAGGAGGAACACAGGGGCTTCCAAAAGAGCGCGTTTGCACTTCCGCAAAAAAAAGCAGAAGTGCAAACGTATTCCCTGGATATGGTGGAGTTTTTTCGGGATACCTAGTCTAGACGTAGCCTGTGAGAGCTAGACAGAGGCATTCTGTTAACAGATATGGGTCAAAGTTGTAAAGTTCAGATTCACTCTAGGGGTTGGTTCAAGCACATTTCTAATGATTCGGAAGATTAATGTATAGCACTGAAATATTTGATAACACCATGGCACTTTTGGCTTCCACTTGTGTCTAGAATGCTTCCCGGTGTGTTACCAAGATACCTCAGGGCTAATGCTGGAGCAGAAGCTAAAACAGCACATCGCTTGCAAGTTGGTAAGCAGTTGCAATAAATTAGTTAGTGTTTAGTCTCAGGGCTCTGTGGTGGAAAATGAAGTGGCACCCACTGTGGGCTAAGAGGGAAAATATTAAAAACAACAGATGGTCTGGTAGCACTTTATAAACTAACAAAACACATAGATGGTATCATGAGCTTTCATGGGCACAGCCCACTTCTTCAGATGACAGGAGTTTGTGAGCCTTACACCCTCACACACGTTTCCAAGTATCACACAGATTCTGCAACAAACAACTGGCCAAATGGAATCATTTAGTGACTCCTAGTTCTTGTATTAGAGGAAGTAGTAAATAACTCTTCCTTATTCACTTTTTCCACATCAATCATGATTTTATAGATAAGAACCTAAGAATGGCCATACTGAGTCAGACCAAAGGTCCATCTAGCCCAGTGTCCTATCTTCTGACAGTGGCCAATGCCAGGTGCTCCAGAGGGAATGAACAGAACATGTAATCATCAAGTGATCTATCCCCTGTCGCCCATTCCCAGCTTCTGACAAACAGAGGGTAGGGACACTATTCCTACACATCCTGGCTAATAGCTATTGATAGACCTATCCTCCATGAATTCATATAGCTCTTTTTTGAATCCTGTTATAGTCTTGGACTTCACAACATCCTCTGGCCAGGAGTTCCACAGGTTGACTTTTCATTGTTTGAAGAAGCATTTCCTTGTGTTTGTTTTAAACCTGCTACCTATTAATTTCATTTGGGGATCCCTAGTTCTTGTGCTATAGGAAGCAGTAAATAATTCTTCTTTATTCACTTTTTCCATAACAATCATGATTGTATAGATCTGTATCCTAATCATCTCTTTTCCAAGTTGAAAAGTCCCAGTTTTATTTATCTGTCCTCAAATGGTAGCCATTTCATATCCCTAATCATTTTTATGCCCTTTTTGGAACTTTTTTCAATGCCATTTTTTTTTTTTTAAGTTGAGGAGACCCCATCTGTATGCAGTATTCATGATGTGGGTGTACCATGGATTTATATAGAGGCAATCAAATATTTTATCTTATTCTCTATCTCTTTCTTAATGATTCTGAAACAGTCTGGTTGCTTTTTTGACTGCTGCTGCACATTGAGTGGGTTTTTTCTAAGAATTACCCATAATGACTCCCAAGATCTCAATCATGAGTGGTAACAGCTAATTTAGTCCCAATCATTCTACATAGATAGTTGGGATTATGTTTTCCAGTATAAATTACTTTACATTTATCAACATTAAAATGTATCTGCCATTTTGTTGCCCAGTTACCTAGTTTTGTGACATCCTCTTGAAGCTCTTCACAATCTGCTTTGAACTTAATTATCTTAAACAGTTTTGTATCATCTGACAGTTTTGCCACCTTGCTGTTTACCCCTTTCTTCAGATCATTTATGAATAAGATGGGTCCCAGTTAGGGATATGAACAGGTATTCGTGTACACAATTACATGTAGCCCCCTGCTGCCTCTGTATCAAAAAGCTGGCCCTCCAAAAGCATCATCCCTTGCAGTGTTACTTGCTCCCCTCCCCAGGCTACTGCCTCTAATACAAAAATAGCCACATTTTAACATCCCTAGTTCCAGTACACACTCCTGGAGGACGCCACTCTCTCCATTTTGAAAACTGACCCTTTTATTCCTTCCCTTTGTTTCCTGTCTTTTAACCAGTTATCAGTCCATGAGAGGACCTGCCCTCTTCTCCCATGACACATTTGTGAGCACATCTGTCTTTACATTTGCAAGAAAGTAAATCCACTGCACTACTTTAGAGCAGATTCTCACCTCTGAAGAGAAGTACTGGGAGAAGGAAATAGCATACAGGGAATGGAAGCATAATACTGAAAGCTAACAGGCATATAGGGGAAAAGCTCCTAATTTTATCTTTGCATTTGGGAAACAGCTTATCCTCATAAACCACACGATGTAGACAAAATGGCTTTCTTCCGAAACATCACCATAAAACTACAGCAGCTGGCCACCAACTCCTCTTCCAGCCAAGTCACTGAGTGGTGGGTTATTCAAGAGTGGATGCCCGTCTGCTCTGGTAATGCTTGCAGCAAGAATATGGAGCTTATCATCTACAATGACAAAGTCAGCCCTTCCAGCCTGGGATTCCTGGCAGGCTACGGGTAAGGACGATATGTGACACGGGGGAAAGGGGGGGGGGGAAGCAGCCCCATTGCTTTTTGTAAGTGGTAGAATACTTTTTTGGGGTTTCTTGGGTAGTTATTTAGTTCTGGCATCTTCCCACACAGCCAGGCAGAATATCTGTATTTTAGGGATTTGTACATCTATCTGTCTGTGAGTCTGTTCAAGAACTCCTCCTAAATGGAGATAGAAGGCCCCTAGCAGCTGGGGCAGGACTTTGGGGAGACGGAAGGCCCGTGTTGGTTGCGGTGAGGGAGGGAGAAAAGGCCACGCAGGCTGGGGAGGGAGAGAAAGCCCCACCAGATGGAGCCCCCATTCTGACCCTCTCGTCACCCTCCCCTCAGTCTGACCTCCATTCCCCATGCTTCCAGCTCAATGCCAGGTAATTCTTCTAGTTTGTGCACTCTCTGTCTCGCTCTCTCTGACAGGTTGGTTTTTTATAATTTTTCAATTATTTTGTAATTGGTTTCTCTCCTTCCTTGGTCAGATATCTCAAAAGCAGAAGCTGTCAAACCTGAGTCAGGTACTGCCCTGAAAGATACGTCCCCAGCTGGGTTATTAGCAACTGAAGTGGAGGAATAGGGTTATTGCAGACCAGATTCGGTCTCCGATTACTATAAGGCAGTGTTTCTCAAACTGTGGGTCGTGACCCACAGGGGGGTCGCAAGCAACTTAGGGGAGGTGGTCACAGCTGGATTCAGTTTTTCACTTGTGACCCCTCTCCCCCGGGCCGGGAAGAGCAGCAGGGGGGGTGGAAGGCAGCCGCCAGCAAGCCGCACAGTGTGGCCGGGGCCGCGGGACTCCAGGAACGCGGCTCAGTTGCAGGAGGAGGCAAGGCGGCGGGAGAGTGAGGCCAGCGCCAGTGCAGGAGCAGACATATAAGGGGCTGGCAGGGGCATGGTTGCTGGGCGACCGAATGCTTCCCCAGATGGGAAAGGGAAGGGTCTCTCAGGCAGCAGGCTGGGGGATTGGGTCGAGGCAGAGGACCTGGAGGTAAATAAGGACATGTGGGGGTCAGAGGAGAGGAGAGAGGGGGAAAAAACTCACGAAAGGGACACGGAGCAGAAAAGAGGCACAGAGGAGAAAAAGATAGGGGGAGGGAGCCTGCAGGGGGGAAGGGCGTTGAGAACCGCAAATGCCTTGAAGGAACCCCACAAGGGCAAGGAGTCTGGTGAGAAGGGGGGAGGAAGTGACCCAGGGCAGGGAGGATGGGGGGGGGTCACATTCATTTAGCATTTTAGGGGGTCGTGGTCTCACAAAATTTGAGAACCCCTGCTATAAGGTTGAAGAGGAGTAGTCAAGGAAGTTGCACAAGTGTAACAGAGCAGAATTTAGCCCCCTATGTGCAAAACTGCATGCAAGGTAACATTTGATAAGTCAGTCTAATGGTTGCAAAGTGCTACAGCTTACAAGCTTACCAGTGATTCGGTGGGAAAATAGTCACATAAAGCAATTCCATTTGTGTGTGCCCCATGGTTGGTTTTATGACCACCTCGCACTTTAGCAAGCTCCTAGGTCTTTATTCCAAATGGGTTTCAAGATGCAGGCACTTTATTCTCCTTCAAAAGCATGAACAAATTCATTGGGTTTTGCCAGGGAGTAGCCCTTCTATCTCTTTTTAGTTGTATCTAAAAGTCACACACTGCCGCTCACTAAAAGCAAATGTGAAAACAAAGTGGGGTGGGGTGAAATCCTTCCCAGAGCACTAGGACTGTTTCCAATCCTTGGGGTAGGAGATTTCAGACTAGAAATGAAGCACGTATTGAGTAGTGAAGGTAATTAGCCATTGGCACACCTTAGCTAACGAGGTGGGGATTATAGGAATTCAAGTGATGGAAAATCTAAGATTGGATTTCCCTCTAAAAAGATGCTGTAGCTCAACCATAATGCTAGGTTTAATGCAGGAAGCACAGGGGGAGGTATTTCTATGGCTTGTGTTATGCTGGATGTCAGAATCGATCAGGGTTTGGGCACAATACAGCCCGTGGGCCCAATCTGGTCTGTCAAGCCACCAGATCTGGTCCATGGCCCACCTGGAGCCTCACCCAGACTCCCTGCCTGCCCCACCTCTGCCTGGCCCTCAGAGCAGATGGCTGCACATGCCATGTGTGCTGATCTGCATGGTGTGAGATCAGGGAGCGGACATGTTTTTCATGCTGCCTCTGTCCACAGCACTATCTCGTAGCTCCCATTGGCTGGTTTCATCTTCTATTGGCTCAGTGTTCAGAGCAGCACACGTGGCCCCTGCAACCAGCTGCTCTAAGTATGTGCGGGGGCAGGACAGGTAGGGAGCCTGGCTAATGAATCTGCAGGGCTGTTAGGTGGAAGCTGCCCAGCCATAGCCTGACACACCAGCCCCCCCCCCTTACACCCATACTTCCTCCCAGACTCTGCACACCCTCATACACCTCCTCCAGGTCACAACCCCCTCTCAGACTTTGCATCCCAATTCCCTACCCCATCACAACTCAAATCCCCGCACTCCCCCTCCCCCCTGCACTCCTTCCCCAGGTCACAACATCCTCCCGGGCCCTACACCTCCTTCTCCACATCAGAATCCTCTCCTGTACCATACCTCCCTCCCAGATCCTGCACCCCCTCCTGCACTCATCCCCTGCCCCAGGCTGCAATCCCCTCTTCCAGATCCCCTTCCGTACCCCAGTCTCTTACCTCAAGCTCATTTCTGTGCCCAACCTCCATCCCCGACCTCACACCACCACCTTTAATATCACAGAAGAATGTAGCCCTTGACCACTTACCAAATTCTTGGAGTGTCCCCCACCCATCAAAAATTATTGCGTACCCCGGGATAGAGGATCATACTGATCTCTCCTGCTGGCCTATTAACCTACCTTCATTTGGACTGGTAGTCTCATTGAAATCAGTGGAACTCTGTGTTCAAGGTAAGAAGGTAAAGTTGGGCCCTTTAGGGAAAGCTAAATTTCACATTAGCAAAAGGATACGTGAATAGCTTGCTTATGACAGATGTTATGCACAACTCCCATAGTGCAGGTGCACAGAATGACAACAGGATACAGTCCCTTATTTCACCCCCTCCTGACCAACTTGTGCTCCGCTCCTCTCCTCTCCTCAGCATCGTTGGCCTCGATATGTCTGTTGTCCTCGTCATTGGGAAGTTCATTCGAGAGTTCTTCAATGGCATCTCCCGTTCAATAATGTTTGAAGAGCTGCCCAACGTGGACCGCATCCTGAAACTCTGCACGGACATCTTCCTGGTGAGGGAGACGGGGGAGCTGGAACTGGAGGAACAACTCTTTGCTAAACTCATCTTTTTGTACAGATCTCCTGAAACGATGATCAAGTGGACCAGAGAGTCAAAGGAATGATGACAGCACAAAAGCTTTGTTTAGGAAGATCAGGTTTAGGAAGCAAGCTGCTTTAGAAAGAAGTCTAACATTCAGGAATGGGAGTTGCTAGGACTGTTTCCTCTCCATAGGCATATTTTCACCTTAAGCTTCTCCACAAGTTTCTCACCAAAATATACTGTGCTTAGGCAGTAAATGTACTTTTCAGGCCAGCGACTACTCTTTGCTCAACCAGAGAAGCTGGTCCCCTCCAGACTTCATCCCACAATAATGGGTGCAGAAAGCTTGATTTTATTTGCAAAGAAGCCAGAAACTTCCTCACAGCAGGAGAGATTCTAATCAGCCTCTGAGCAACTGCAGTTGGGCCAACCAAGTTGAGTGGCACCAATGGCTGAAGATAAATGACAAAGAGAGAATTTGAACGCAGCTAATTTACAAGAGCCCTAAGATTTTAAAGAAACACTTATAGGGGTGTTCGGACAGGGAGTCAGGAGGCTGCCAGTACTCATTGGACAAAAGACAGAAAACAGACAAATTCCATTTTATTACCTAAAAACCAACAGTTCAAAGACAAAATAAAAGAACAGAATGGGGGCACTTGCATAATCAGAGTATGATTTCTTAATGAGACTTAAGGTCCTTTCATGTCTTAAGAGGTCTATCACAGCCTTACCAAACTAATATTTTACTTTGTTGCATGGAGAGGTTTCCCATAGAATTATAGGGTTGGAAGAGACCTCTGAAGATTGAGTCCAGCCCCTTGCTAAAAACAGGACCAATCCCAATGAAATCATCCCAGCCATCCCATCTTGCTCTGCTTTTACATAGGCACTCAGTGAAAAGTTCATCCACTTTTTCCTGACTGTAGGCTTGTCTACACTATGTGGAAGATTGACATTGCTGCAGTCCATCTTCCAGGTTTTAAACTAACACGTCTGGTGAAGACCCACTAATTCGAACTGAGAGGATGCTTTGTTGGTGCTGATAGTCCTGGCTCTGCTCGAGGAGTAGGGGAAGTCGATGGGAGCAAATGACTTTCTGATGTGTGCATGGTGTGAAATCACGATTTAAGAAAAGTTGACGTATCTTGAGTCAACTTTCCCCTTTAGTGTAGACCAGGCCTGTCAGAATAGTTAAAAAATGGGTTTGAAGAAGAGAACAGGAGCCTTGGGCAGTGTTTTGTTAGGTTTCAGAAAGAGTGGGTACCTGAATGGCATCCAGGATGGTACCCTAACATGGGGATGAGAGGATGGAGTAGGGCAGTTTTTACCAATAGAAATGTCTGAGGAGGCAGCAGGTACCCAGGCAACAGGGCACTGGATGGAGCTCCAGGGTTTCTATAGCCCTTTCTATAGTAACTTTGAAAAAGTTACTTCCGCCCTCAGTCTCTGGTTCCCCTCTCCTCCTCTGTCCGTCCTGTCTAGACTAGTAGTGCCTCAGGGCAGGGTCCATCTTTGTGTGTGTGCACAGTACCTAGCCCAATGGGCCCCAATCTCTGTTCAGTGAATTTGGTATTCTCACTCTAGTGGAAGCTCCCTCTGCGCTTTCATTCAGCGCAAGTGACATCCTCTCTTTGGAGGAAAAGGGTGCTGTGGGTCTGAAGTGCAGCAGCAGAGCTGGGTGTGAGAACTTGCACAGTGTAGCCGTCAGTCTCTCATTTTATGAACACCCAGTATTTTCAGAAATGCGAATAATGCCATGAAATATACATGGATATACAGACAGCTTTAATAAACTTATACCATACGTGTGTAAATCATAGAATCCTAGACCTGAAAGGGTCCTCAAGAGGTCATCGAGTCCAGTCCCCTGCTCTCATGGCAGGACCAAGCACCGAAAGGTGTCTGGGCACATTTAGACTTCCCGCAGCTTTAGAAAGAAGATATGCAAATTTGGCATGAATTTGCATATCTTCTTCTGATCCCCATTTTCAGAAGTTTTTCAGAAAAAAATTAGTCTAGATGCGGTTCTTTCGAAACCCTCCCCCCCTTTTTGAAAAGAACCCTGTACACCTCATTTTTTTTTAGGAAGAAGGGTTCTTTCGAAAAAGGGTTTTTTGTCTGAAAGAACCACGTATAGGCTTTTTTTTTTTTAAACTCTTCCGAAAATGGGATCGGAACAAGATATGCAAATACTCGCTGAATTTGCATATCTTCTTTCTAAAGCCACGGGCAGTCTAGACGTGCCCTGAGTAACCTGCTCTTAAATATCTCCAGTAATGGAGATTCCACAACCTCCCTAACCAATTTATTCCAGTGTTAACCACCCTGACAGGAAGTTTTTTCTAAAGTCCAACCTAAACATCCCTTGCTGCAATTTAAGTCCATTGCTTCTTGTCCTATCCTCAGAGACAAAGGGGAACAATTTTTCTCCCTCCTCTTTGTAACATCCTTTTAGAGACTTGAAAACTGCTAGCATGTCCCCTCTTAGTCTTCTCTTTTCTAAACTGAACAAGCCCAATTCTTTCAGTCTTCCCTCATAGATCACATCTTCTAGACTTTTCATCATTTTTGTTGCTCTTCTCTGGACCTTCTCCAATTTCTCCACATCTTTCTTGGTATGTGGTGCCCAGAACTGGACACAATACTCCAATTGAGGCCTAATCAGTGCAGTAAGTAGAAAAAAGAAAGCAGCCACTTTGCTGTGTAAACCAAGTTTATTCATAGTTCCAACAATTATTTTTTTCCCCCTTCAAGTTAACATATTGTATTATTTGAGAGAGGAAGGGTGACACAGAACTGTGTTTTGGCCCACTCTTTTGTTGATTTTAATGCTCAGCAAAAGATTAACATGCAGGTACAGCACTTAACTAAAATAAAAAGCCTTTTCCCATCAAACCTTCTTTGCTGCTAAGGTGAACTGCCATTGAAAAACCCAAGCCAACAGTGGTTTCTTCTTCCTCACATAACTCTGTTGTGAGAAGTAGTGGGCGTTGTAAGCATCAATACAACTTCACCTAAAGTAACAGCCTGGTAAGCAAGAGCTGCGGTTGCTTATTCATGCATTAATGCACTCATCAAGTTTTGGGAGGTGCTTTAAGGAGGACATTTCCCTCTCGCCAATAAAGCTAGTGGAGCTCAGAGATTGCAGGGGCAATATTGTAACTGTGTGCACCAATAATTTTAAAAACCTTAAAAGAATAGGCCATTACATCAGAAATAAGTAATCTCATCACGACAATAAAAAAAGGCAATTTCCCACATGTGGTATTTTCTTTGCTTCAGAACGGATCAGTGCAAAGTGAGGTAATCCAGGCGCACTATCAGAAAGGACAGGGGAACATTAAACAAGGCGCCGCCTTTTAGAATCTCTCTCCATCTCATCATCTGGAGAGTCTCCAGTGCATCCTAGGGGGGACACCATGTTTAGCAGAGGATCTTCCGATGCACGGCCGAACAGGGACAGCAACAAAGCCACTCCATAGCCAGTAGCTCGTTCGCCCTAGAAACAAAACGCTTTTAATATTGCTCTTTTGCTAGTAGAATGTAAGAGACACTTTCAGGTAGAGCGCCAAACCAGGACTCTGCGTGAGTTCTTGGGGTGGCATTTTCCAAAGTCCTTGTGGGAGTGAGAAGTCCAACACCCTGGGCTGCTTTGGAAAAATCCACCTTTCGTGCTGCTAAAATCTTAACTGATAGCACTTGGTGGAAGAACTCTGAAGAAGTTGGCAGCTGCTTAATAAGAACAGTGGGCACCACACAGACAAAGGAAACTAATGCAGAAGTCCCAGTCTAGTGTGTAATGTCCAAATGAACATGCTATAGCATCCTTTACATTGATCTTAACATCAAAGCAAGAACCTATTCTATGAAACTGATCTACAAAGGAATCGGAAGTAATACATGTTTCCTTTATAAGAGCAGCCTCCTCTCTCTCTCTCTCTCTCTCTTTGGAACTGTACTCTCTCTTGTTACGGCTGATATGGGTAAGTGGGTGACATTTGCACTCTGCTGTAGTTTAGCACAAGGCAGTGTATAGTTGATTTGCACCAGAGAGAGACAATGACTCCTTGTATTTAGTCTAACCTCTCTCAGGGCAGAGGATCCACAATTCAATACCAGAAAAGAAAATCCAGCTGCACGATTTGTTCTTTTTAAAGCCGACTGGTTAGCAAGAGAAGAGTAAAGGTGAAAATATCTGCTGAGGCATTAGAGGGAGCAGATAGAGTACCACAAAAACTTGATAGGCAGCCCAACTGGGAAGAGACTAAGAAAATTCTGTCCAACCACAATGAAAGATACTGGCCTAGGTCACTTAACCACAATATATTTTATATACTCATTTCTTAAACATGTAGAAGGAGCATAAATTGGGTTAAAAATGCCCATATTGCTGCAAATTAGAAATTAGACTAGGTAACAGTCCAAGATTAATTTTTAAATAAAAACTGAAATTAAGCTGCCAGAATAAAGCAGGTATCTTTCTGAAATTGGATTTCTTTGTATAGTCCTTACTTCTTACAAAAAGTGTTCTTGTCTGTCTAAATCACCCTCATCTCTGTCAGAGAGCCCTGCAAAAAGAGCAAGCAGATGAAATTTCACATGACAAATGAACTCACTCACCGCATGGACAGGTGCTGCAATGTCTATATGGACCCAGACACCAGACCAATCAAAACCAATGTGAGAAGCAATAAAAAGCCCAGCACAGGAGCTCGGACTATTCTCTCTATCCTGGAAAAACAGTAAAAACAAATCAGTTTTTGCTATATAATTGGTCTCTAAAATATTGCTTTTCTAAAAGTAACTTCTAACAATGTCCTAACATTACCCGCCATTGTACGAGACAATGTACAAAACCATCTTTTGTAAAACATTCTTAAAAGCAACATAGCATAACGTTCAGAGGGGTAGTCGTGATTGTCTCTTTCAGCAAAAATGAGGAATCCTGTGGCACCTTAAAGACTAACATATTTATTAGGGCATCAGCTTTCATGGATTCGAAGTGGGCACCACCCCACAAAAACTTATGCCCTAATAAATGTGTCAGTCTTTAAGGTACTCGTTGTTTTTAGTAGCTTAAGAATGGCCTTAGTATGTGCTAGGGATGTTAAAATGCGTTTATTCAAATAAACGTGTAACCTCTGAAAATTTCAGCAGTTACATGAGGGGGGAGAGGGGAAGAAAGAGAGGGGATGGCTCCCTGGGTGCAATACTTCCCCCCACACACACAAACACTCGCTCCTGCCTACCTCTGATACAAAGGCCATGGGGGTGTGGGGGGAGGCGGCATTTAACCATGCACATTAATTGATAAGCCTGGGCTCATCAGTTAATCGTGTACATGGTTACACTTTCACATCCCTAGTATATGCCAGCAAGTTTTCAGGTATGCAAGAGTGAGCTAATGCCCGCTGCGCCTTTTTGGAGTTGCCGTTTCTCCCCACTAAGCCATGTTTTCTCTTTTTCCTTTGTTAAAGGAACCACTTGTACTTTTACTCAGACAGAAGGAAGGGATTACACAGCCACAATGCATGTGGCAGTTAAGAAAGCAATACAGAATTCTCCATCAGACCAACTGCAACCTCCCTAACATGTTGGCACTTGTTTAACTTAGATTTATCAAGGTCACCAGCTGAGGTCACCACAGCCAGACCTGAGGCCAGGCCTTGCTCCCTTTGTCAAAAATAGAGTTGTTTGCAAGTGTCAATGATGGGCAGGTCTTTAAAACGACAAGGCACATTTGAAATGCAACGTCTTTGTATCTTAGCCCCTCCTACCATAGGTACATTATGCAGAATGTGCACCGGGAGTGTGGCATGAACAATTCTGGTTAAATAGGGGAATAAAAGATAAAAAAACCTACTGCCACAGAGTTCTTCATATCGGCTACAGCAGAGGTAAATTCACTAAAATGGAGTTCAGGACAATATATGAGAGGATGGACCAGGTCTCCGCAGTTCCTGCCAGCTATAACACAGGCCTTCTCCCAGTCTTCATTGTTGGTGAGGACAGCAGCATGATATTTCCCTGTGGCAATTCCCTAGTGAGGGATAAGGCACAACCAGGTAGGGTTAATATGGGTTTAGTCCCAATCTCTTTAGCAGACTTGCTGGCTAGAGCAATCTTCTGCTGCCTACTTATTGCTAGAAGTGGCCTGCCATGCAACATGGCTATCAATGACAAACCCACTGAGAAAACGTATCTGAAAACTAAAGAAAAAGACTGACATGTTATAAATAAACAGTGGGGTTCTGGGCATCATCAAAACATTCAACATTTCTGAAAAGAATTCCATTTCACAGTGAAAAAGTCTATCTGGTCTAGCACAATGGCAGACACACAAACATCTCCCTGGGTTTTATAGTAGGGACATAAGTGACTAGTTGACTACCCAATAAGCGCAGTCGAGTCACTACTTGACTACTCACTTCCCCTCACCTTGCTGCCTCTGTATCAGAGGCTTGGGGGAGCACTGTTTCTGCGGCGGGAGAGGGGAGGCAGAGGCGCAGTGGGGGACCTGGTGTGAGACGGGACTAAGCAGTCCCGGCTTGCACTGAGTCCCAGACCACTGTGGCTCTGCCTTTTAAATGCCAGGCTCTTAGTACATTTAAAAGGCAGAGCCGCAGCAGTCCCAGAGCCAGCACAAGCTGGAACTGCTCAGTCCCAGCTCATGCCTCCCCTAGCAGCTAACACCCTTATCAACTAATCCAGTAGTCAATGGAAATTCCTTATTAACCGCTGATTTGCTTATTAACTGCTACTTAACATCCCTAATTTAAAGCCAACAATCTACACAATTAGTTTATTAACCGCTACTTATCATCCCTATTTTATAGCCAACAAGCAACATGGCTGTATGGTTACATTTCCATGTTTGTTGGTCTAGCAATTAATTATAAATAAGATGG